TAACACTAAGATACGATTCAGTAAACACGATACGCACGGGAAATTAAATAATTAATAAAGTCGGACATACTTTTCTACTATAATTTATTACGTTATGAAAATATGTTTTAAGTTAAAAATGCACTTGAGTGAGCCTGCAGTTATTTTTTTTTTTTAATTTAATGTATAAAAACGACAAATTATTAAGTTTAAAAAGTAATATTAAACTATAGGGTATAATTTAATCACGAATAATAATATTATAAACTATATTAAATAATGTTATTATATAGATAATACGAAGGAAAAAAAACTTCTGAAACAATGGACTTAATTAGATTGTATAGGAATCTTTAAATATTATATCTACGATTTTGTTTCGGAATTGAAATGTCAAGTTTATAACTTCCGAAATTCTACCAATTTATTTCAGTGTGCAGTGTTTCCAACACGCAATGTAGGTGCATAAAAGGACTTAGGGACCTGTCAACTTATAGACGTTTAAATCTGTACGATAGCTAACGGAAAATATGAATTTAAATATGTCAAACAAATAATACTTAATAATATTAAATACGAAAGTGACAGTTTTGTATTATTTATGAAAATTATCAATAATATAAAATCATAATAAAAAAGACGGACATACTTCGCACGTGGGTGGACCACTGTTGTAAGTGAGAAGTTAGGAAGGTAAAAAGGAAATTTAATATATTATATCTGTAGGCAATAATTAACCATTGGTAACGAAAAACGATTATGAGCGGAGTTCGGTTGGTTATGTGTTGTGTTGCTTTGTCACATTATGGTAAAATAATTACATATGTATTACCTGTATATTTTCTTCAGTAATATTTGTATTAAATATTATATCTATTTTCCCGGTTTTTACCATGTTTTTCCAATTTATTAGGAAAATCAAAATATGACCTCCCTATAGTACCACTCTAGAAAATTCACTTTCAGAGAGGGTGCTTTACTTCATACTTCAGAACGAGATTTCTGATAGAATTTCGGTACATAGTATAAAAATAAAAAAAATAATATAAAATAAATATCTTCGTAAAGCCAATACAATTCTATAGACACTATAGAATTTAGATATAAATATTGATAACTAAATGTAAAACTAGCCGTAGTTGTAAAAAAAAAGCCGATAAAAATAGTATATTTAAAGCGAGACCGGCGTAACGTATGCAATAATAATATTACGATCGCAGCTATCACGGAAAAACTGCCCAGAGTAATAATACTATAATCAGACGGCACATCGCTATAATAATATGACACATGAATAAAACGCGTGCGTTTCGACTGATTCCATCTCAGAATATTTTCAAAAATAAAGTATTCCGGGCGAAAGATCGCTTGCGTTCCAGAACAATATTTAATCTAGATAAGAAAAAAGTAATTTCATACTAAAATGTCATTCGCGAAACAAAATAGTAAACGAATATTTTCGACGTAAACAGCGTTAAAAACTGCGATAGTTCTGTATTGGTTAAAGTTAGCGCCAAGGAAACTTTAGAACTGCGCACGCTTGTTTCAAGACTACATAGTAGTTGTGAACAAATTTATAGGGCCGAATTAGGGCCTTTTCGGGCATTTCGCTAAACAATTTATATTTTGAAAAAAATTTCTGGTGGAATGATATAGTAGATCTACGGGTCTTCTCCCACCTTGCCTAGAAATTAAAGATTAAAATTATTATCTGTTTTATCTTTGTACGATGACTTAAACGGCGTGTGTTCGATGTATTGTTTAGCATTTTTACTTGTGATAACAAAAAAAAATAATTCATAATAATTTTAAAAAACTGCGCAACGATTATCATTAAGAACTACACATTTTGTGTAGAAATGCACGTTAACGCAAACCCTGGTATTAGTAAAAATAAAGTAAATTATATTTAAATTCAATATATTAAATAATTTTTATAAATCCCATAACAAAAGGAAATTAACAATTTAAGTGTGTTCAAGATAAAACGAAAATGGTAAGACGGACGGAGAGAGGTATCGTTGATTTATTTATTTTTTAATATATTGATACAATTTAATTGAAATTTAATCGTTCCGTTTTGGAAATTTCGAATAAAGCCCGGGATTAAAATGTCGACGGTTGAATTTCTTTCGAGTTTTATTTTTGAATCGTTAATAATAATTTATATTTTTAGAGCACGTTCAACTGATAAATCCGAACATTAATACTTTGAAGTACCCACTTACTAAAAAACCGTGTTCAGTTACATATAATATACTTATATAAAAGTCGATGTGTACGATTTTTCGAAAATGTTCATCGTCTTTGCCGGAGAATGATATAAAAGCTGGCCTCGCGATAAAACACTATAGTAATAGCACGCTATTAAATCGTTCAATAAATCTAAAATTGCTATAAAATCGATTTAAGGAGGACTAAAATTGAATGTAGAAAAAAAAAAACGTTTAAATCCCGTACACGCTTAGAATGCAAATAATAATAGACTGCGCGAATAAAAATATGACAATAACACAAATAAACGTTTAAGCGCGGGACGCTTTTTACGTGTGGGAAGCGGTGGAGCACCTCTTGGATATTTTATTTCAGTGACAATTGACAAAACTTTTGAGTTTTCGTTCGAACTTTGTTCGTATATTATTATTATTCGACAATGTAAGGATAAAAAATTAATAATTTGAGTATTCGATTCGAAAAGTACCAATATAGTACATTGGTTGCGAATTAAATGAACAGAACGAACAATTACTATTGTGTACGGGCGCTTTACTATAAAAAATATAGTTAACACTAGGCGTGAATGAAAATAGTTTTTAAAAGCGTTTTTATCGACTTACGCTTTATACGCGAGGACAAACTGGTTTAGAGATACGTCGGACCATTAGACGCTGTAAATTGAATATCGTATTATTATTAAACGTCGAGATCGGAACAAGAAAGGTTTAATTTTATAATAATAAGATGTCGTTTAGTTTAGTTTTTTTTTTTGTTTTTTTTTTTTCTGCGTTTTTGATGAAAACTTTTCGGAACCATACCTAATTAATACATAAATCAAGTTTGTTGTGTTTAAATTGAATTCCTACGGAACGTCGCCGGGAGGCGACTATTCTTTCTCGTAAAATTCGTGTTATTACCGTAACCCGCATCGCAAACTAAACAGGCAGGTATTACTATTGTTTATTATACTAAAATTATTATATTATATACGTCGTATAAAACCGTTTACCTACCGAATAAGAAAAGCAAACCAAAAGAAAAGAATCGTTGTTGTGGTATTCATCTACGGGCGACGATAACAATTTCGAGACACGCGTATTGTGGTACCTATATACTGTTATGGTGATGTGAAAAATCCGGATTTCAAGAACCCGAAATCGGCATTTTATTTAAAATCCGGTTTTTGGATTTTGAAACTTCGATTTTGGACTCGTATAGGCATTTTTATGCGATTAAAATACTAATCGTAATTATAAATTAATTTAATATAAATAATATGAATAAATCAACTACTACAGGTCAACCTTACCCTTGTCATATAAACTTACTGTACTAATTGTATAGATTGTTTGTTTTTCTAAATAATAATAATAAAAAAATATATGTATATATATATATATATATATATAAATAAAAAACAAATACCTATGTTCATACAAAAATATATACACAGTGATTCTTTTATCGTTGAACACTGATAGTTTGCAAAATATTGACTATTTTTAGAAAAAAAAAAAAAATGTTTATGACAATTTAAGAAACAAGCAGATCGAAAATTTCACATTTTTTATCACCCTTATTTTTGTAGATGAATAGATTACCAAATTTTATTTTTAAACGGTAAAATATTAAATTAAAAATTCCATACATAAACGGATTATTAGTTTAAATAAATTTTAATGTTAACATTTTCGGTTTCCGTCAACCCGTTCACCAAGGTATTCTAATTTTAAGTTTTGGTACGAGGGGACCTCTATTCAAACTCTTACCGCCTGAAAAAAGAATCACTACTTTTCATTGACGGAAATCAAAAATGCCAACGTCAAAATGTATTTAAACAAATACTCCGTTTAAATTTGTATGGAACTTTTAATATATGTTATCATTTGAAAATCAAAAGTTGGAAGTCGTTTCACCCGCAAAAATAAGGGTAAATTTTAGATCTATCGATTTCTTAAATAATTACTTAGCGAAACAATGAGTGTTCAACGATAAAATCATCATTCTGTATATAATTTATGTACAGAATGATATTATAATTGATTGGAAAGAAAAATCGAAAAATAGTTTTTTAATGCAAACGTCGATAATCGACGTGCCCATGCGGTTATTATTTGAATTCGGAATTTATTGACCGCGTCATTAACAAATACCACAAACGATTACAATATGTGCAACTCGATGTTAATCGGCAACGAATCTGTCCCCGCAGTTATACTGTCGGTTACCTATATTGTACGCAATATTGTGTAAGGGGTGATATATTAAATTGATCCACGACATCAAATAATTATACACTGTATAGGTAATGTATACGCATGATCACGAACGTATAGCAGTTAGGTCAAATGCTATTATTTTTATTAGGTTTCCGTGTGAAGGTACGGTCGACTATAACGACAAACAAGGCGATCCATTTCAGTGGATACACTCGATATCTCGGAAAGTATATTTACGATTTTCAATTTTTTTTTTTTTTTTTTTGGTTTTTTTTTAAGAAAATTTAAGAAATTAATTAAAAGTTAAAATAAATGTTGGTGTTGAAATTTATTTTCGTTATTATTAACGTATATTTTAACTAATGTTCCATTTATTTACAGAATATTTAAAGTAAAACGACTACCTAGTTTTAAAACATTTACTATGTTTTAAAACTAGGTAGTCGTTTCACCCCCATAAATTAAGGCGAGAAAAAATAATGTAAATATTAAATTTTAGAGCAGCTTGTTTGTTAAATGTTTAAAAAACAAAAAATTAAAAACGTAATTGTTTTTCGAGATATCGAGTTTATCCACTTAAATGAATCACAATTCTTCTGCTGATGGATATCCAAGGCAATTATCCAACAACAATAATGCTTTTGGAGATAAATTCACACTTAAAAAGTGCTTACGAGCTACAGGCACAAATTCTTGATGAAACCAGTCCAAGAATAAAACACGAGTGCATTTTTTTTGTTCACGATAGCATACGGAAAGGTTAATTGATTTAAACGCACGCGGTTTTTGTACAGTCCCTATAACGAACATAGGCAGCTTGTGTGTTCCACTTGCATTAGCACATAGCATGAATGTTATTCGAGCTTTAATAATTTTTCTCCCAGGAGCGTTTTTCTCGTGACTTGATACCAATGTATGCTCTGATAACATTCGCCAGAATAAACCGGGTTCATCAGCGTTATAAATTTGCCCTGGGTCCAAATTGTTTTTATTTACGACTCACTGCAACTCATTTCGAAATTGTTCGATTGATGCTTTGTCACATGAAAGCTTCTCATCCGTTATTTTAAGGCGCCAAATACCATGTTTAAAATTGTCTAGCCAACCTCTACTAGCAGCGAAACCGTCTTAATGCTTTGTGATTTCACGGTGAAATAAACTTGCTCTTTCGCAAAATATTTCACCGCTCATCGGAACGTGTTGTCTTCGCTGTCGCATAAACCTTAAAAATAAAGTATTTTCGAAAACAAGATTTTCCGGCTGTTTAAAAGTTTCACGTGTACCTGGACCACGTTCAGTCGTGCGGACAAACTTCGTAATTTTCTCTTTGTTTTTCTTTATGTCACCAACAGTCGATTTACCTATTCCGTACTTTTCAGCAGTCATACCATAGTTCTGACCATTTTCTATTAACTTAATTATTTCAACGTTTTGATCTAAAGATAAAGTTACGTGTTTACGAGGGGCCACTATGACAAACAATAATAATAACCATTCCACAAGAAAGAAATTAATGAACTAACAATCGATTTATTTCTAGGAACAGTAGGTAAAAACAATGACGGAATTTTTTTTGTCCATAGGAATATTTTACAAATTAATTGGGTTCCGGAAATTCCAAATAAAAATGGATTTATATGTCATCCGGATTACCGCGTTAACCGGATTATCGGGGGTTTGGACTATAGAAACTCAAATTCTGTTTTTTTTTTTTTTTTTTATAATTATTACTAACAAGTATGATGACTACAAATATTTATATTTGAATGTATTGTATTATATTGTAATGCATCGCACGTTCATATCCGATGAATAGTTTATAAGTAACAACAGTTTTAAATTCTACTGATCCGTGTGAAAACCGATGTTATCGCGTAACGCGGTTAGGTTATTCCCTAGATAACATCGATTTTTTGAAATTTAAACTTCGAACTAAAAGTGCAATGTATTTAATGTCTTTACAATATTATTTCGACAACGTTACGCGTGTACGTATCGAGATAAAAAATATACCGTATCCCATTCCGAAAACACTTAGGTTCGTGTACGGTGTACCCACCTACGTCACGCAGACGAACAATTATTATTATTTAAATTTATCGCCGTTTATTTATTCGCGGCCATTAACGAAAAAATCGCGGGCGTAATACAAACGTTAATAAATAAAACTAATTGAATGTGTATATAATTAATATTTGATCGGGGAGGGGAGGGGGAGGGGGTGGAAAAAAATACGTTCCCCGGGCAAAACGGAAACCTGTCCGAAACGAAAAAAAAAAAAATAGAAGAAAAAAAAACGCCCGGCGCCCGTCGTCGTAGCTGCGGGTGTCCGTATCGCACAGGCGTTTTGCTCCGTGCCCGATAAATTATTCATAATAATATCAAACTACACTTCTCGTTCGGAATATTGGATCCAACGAAATCAAATACCTACGTGGTTTATCTGCAGCGCGACGATATCGTCGCGCTGCAGGCCGAACAAATAATGCGAAGTATGACTCCGCAAGAATATCGGTTGGACGAAAAGTTAATGGCAAAGGTCTTATGTAAACTCCGCCAGGTTTGTTTCCTTATACCTGTTTTGGGTATCTCCCGAAATTGATAAAATTGTTAAAAAAAAAATTGATAGTATTAAAGAACGCTACATACAACAGTTACAATAATGGATTAATATTAGACGTAGACTATCTACAAATTATACCACATCATTTCAGTTCACAGTTTAAATTATTGTAATTTATTTTTTTTATAGACATTTAAGGATTATTAGGATAATTTATTACTATGATTTTTTGTTTTGGACAAAAATAAAAATTACGATTTTACTATAAAACTGTGTCAATTGTATGTCTATAGTGTTTGATTGGTCATTTTATATTTTTTATTTAACTTTTTGGTTTTTATGTTTTATATATTTTTTAACATATAAGGAGTAATTATTATTTAATATGAACGATTATTAATTATTTTTACGGAAATTATGATTTTTTTTTTTTTTTTAATTATATTAATTTTATACTGATACTTGATTTTCTTCACTGGCGAAGTTGACATGAATTCAATTTTACCCGATTATTTTTTCCGACGGAGATAACACTAAAAAAAGGCACTTCTGGCGGATTTTACATTCGCCCAGTATGATATCATGTATACTAATGCTTTGATATTGCTAGATAATAGTAATAATAATAATAATAATGATTTAGTTTTCTTGTCCGTAACAACCGAATTGTCATCCGTGTCACCAAGGTAACCGAAAACATTTTTAAACAAAAATGAATAAATAAACAATTAGATATTCGTGCCGAAAATACCTAAAAACCCCTATTTTACCCCCCTTTTCAAAAATCCTTTCATAGCCGATGTCAACGTCATATAATAGCTATTTGTAGGCCGAATTTCAACCCGTTCCGTCTAGTGATTTGGGCTAGACGATGACAAATCAGTCATTCAATCTAGTTACCTAGGAAGTGTTTTTTCATAGGTAAAAATAATATGTGAGATATTTTTTCTGTCATACATTTTGCTCCGATTTTCTAAAAAGAAATCTGACTGGGGTGGTACTTAAAGGAGGTCATTTGTTTGATTTTCCCAGCTGAAAACATAATAAATGGCAAAAAACATAGGTAAAAACTTAAAAATAAACGAGAAAACTTATGAAATGTATTATATTTTCAATTTTTTTTATATTATATTTATAGTTAGGTTTACTTATTATACATCACGTTTAAATTATCCCGTATTTTCATTTATTTATTTTTTTTTTTTTACGGTCAACCTGATTTAGTGCATAGTGGTTGTTGTCACATTTGTAAATCAAAAGTTAGCAGAGTGGTTGCGTGTATTACTATACACAAATACGGATAAAATTGTAGTGCGAGTAGACAATGTAATATTTGATAATCGCGTGTACTTGTAACAAATTTTGTTAATTTTTTTTTATTCTTTCCGAGAAAATGTCCGCGTTTTACAAATCGATCGCCCCGTATAACGTGAACGTACCTATCCGTGCAATGTGTAACAGTTATAAATTATTCGTAAATCTGATGAATTCTTTTCAATCACCATAATATTAAGTGACAGACTGTTATTAGAACTTTTTTTGCTCTCGTTACTTACGGCTGACGTTTCACGCACTGTTACTCGTACCCACCGCTATAGAAAATTGAAAAGTATTTCTAGTTTTACTTTATTACGGTCGTATAAATGTCTCATTTTGACTATACATTTTTTTCATTCTCCTATTACATGTCTCGTCTAAAGTTTAATATTAATTACACATACATATTTTTAACATTTTTTACGAATCTGAAAATTTGTCTGCTATGCGTTTATTCGGTATGGAGTTGAAACTCGACGTTTGAGAGAAAACGAAAAGCTAAGGATGACGGTATTTGAGAAAAAGGTGCTTAGGAAAAAAAATGGGGCATACTTTGATACCCGCGTAGATGAATGAAAGAAATCATATTTAACGATGAACTTTAAAACCTATTTCAACGGCCAGATATGGTAAAAGAAAAAAAGTCTGTTGTGGACGGAACGTGCCAGTCGGAAAAATAATTCGATAATAATAAAAAAAATTGATTGAGGAAGATACCGTAGAGAGACGGCCTCTGAAAAAACATACAAAGCTGGTGGAGTCAGACAGTGTTAAATGAAGAAGAAATAGCAGAGGATAGGAAAGGTAAGGTGACAACATGTCGGGGGTTTAGCGGTACGGTCTTAACTGACAGAGACCAAGAAAGAGAAAAATGAATTTTTTTTTTATCATTCTGTACTCTTGCATTACATTCGATTGTGTCTTTTCGACTGTTCTTGTGCAACTGCACACGAGACAATCAACATTGTTATTTCAAAACTATTTTCAAAAATTATTTCCCTCGTGATTAGTATACATTAGGTGAGTACCGATTTCATAATTTAATCATCAATCTTTTTATAAGTCTTCTTTTTTGGTTTACGGGCACGCGGCAAAACTCGGAAAACTTACTGAAATATCATATCCAAACAAAATGAACGGTTATTATGTTTGGTTGTTGGTATAGCAATGATTAAATATCTAGCCAGTACTTTTTTTATCATCAATTAATATTATTTGTAATAACCATAAATATTTCGTTTTCGCGAATCTATAACCATTAACCAAAACCATACAACCATAACTGATAACGAATATAACCAGTTTAATCACCGAAACAAATCTATTGATATAAAACGCGTTTCCTGTAACCTAACCGAAATTCTAATTTAGAATTTAGTTTTGTCTGTGTTATTTTGTCTTTTAGTTTACACCTCTTAATTTTTAAGCATATTATCTTACAATTTCTGAGTGTCAGACGTACCATAATATTTTTTAGTACTTATTAGTATTAATGTTGGATATCAATATATTTTGTTCACAATTTTTAAAAAGAGTAGCCTAAGTCTCAGGTTTTTCTTTAGCTAAATATTCCTTAATATCCTTTCAAGAATCTTTAGTAGTTTTTTATCTTGTTATAAGGCGTAAATTCGCCGATATCATGTTCATTTTTGATATCTTAAACGATTTCGCTATCTGCCCTGAGATCTTAGCCACAATTAATTTCCGGATTCCTCGTAAACACACTCGTAATACAGATTTATTTATCGTTCCGTTTTATAAACAAACATTGGTACAAACTCATTCCTCCACAGAGCTCTTCTTTTAGCTAACTCTATGTCTACAACACATGATTTTTTTAATATGCCTCACCTATCTTTCAAAACTAATACTTTAACGTTAATTGATAATTTATATTTATAATTGATCTCAAATCTGTTGATTGGTAATTGATTTGTGTAACGTTTTAAAACTGCTTATATTTACAAATCATTATTATTCCTTTGTACATAAATATATTTTTTTATTATTATTAATGTTATGGAAATGTACTATATTTTATGTAATCTCA